CAAATAATGTCTTTGAGAGAACAGATATGTCAAATTAGGAGTTACACTGAGTAACATGGAATAATATCTATTCGCGTGTATATACTGATCTAATGATTTCATGAAGTTTATCAATCTTACGTTCATTCATACATTATCTTATAAAACTTTTCACCAATTATAAGTAGCTATCTAGAAAATTTTGATAAAATTTCCTTCTAATTAATTTAGTAGTCAATGTTAGGTGAGTTTATAGGATACTGAAACGTTTTATTAATCTGAAAAAAGCTATTAAAGATTTTCCTAACTTACTGATAGATTTTTTTGGCTGGAAAAGAAACTCAAGAATTATATACTTATCTCTGTAATCTGCAGATAAATGAAAGAGCATTACAAACACGATAACATCATTTTTATATATATTCCTGAAGTTTGCAACATTCTTAATAGGTGAATAAAATGAAAAGAACTCTAAAAGTTATAAGGACCAGGAATCAGCAAGCCAACTTCGTTGATGTACGGTATCCAGTAAAATCATGATGCTAACAACATTTACTAAAAACATACCTAAAGATTGAGAGTGATGTTACGATAGTTATGTACATAAGGATATATATATCGATATAACCGATTATATATATATTTATATAGCTAGCTAGCTAGATACCTCTCACCCCCAATGGAGCATAGGCCGCCCACCAGTTTTCTCCAGCCAACTCTGTCCTGGGCTTCCGTCTCCAGTTCTGTCCAATGTTTGTTCATTCCTCTCATATCTTTCTCTATTTCTCGGCGTAGTGTGTTCCTTGGCCTTCCTCTTTTCCTTTTGCCTTGAGGGTTCCATGTGAGGGCTTGTCTCGTGACGCAGTTAGGTGCTTTACGTAGTGTGCGTCCTATCCACTTCCACCGCTTCTTCCTGATTTCCTCATCCACTGGAATCTGGTTTGTTCTCTCCCACAGTTCGTTGTTGCTGATGGTGTCTGGCAAACGAATACGAAGTATTTTGCGTAGCCAACTGTTAATAAACACTTGTATCTTCTGGATGATGGCTTTGGTAGTTCTCCATGTTTCCGCTCCATATAGTAGAACTGTCTTGACATTTGTATTGAAAATGCTGATTTTGGTTTTGGTTGAAAGTTGTTTGGAGTTTTAGGTATTTTTCAACTGTAGAAATGCAGCCCTCGCTTTGCCAATCCGCGCCCTCACATCTGCATCCGATCCACCTTTCTCGTCGATGATGCTGCCCAGATATGTAAAGTTGTTAACGTCATCCAAGGCATCTCCATCCAGAGTGATTTGGTTGGTGCATGTTGTGTTTCATCGGAGAATTTTGCTTTTTCCTTTATGTATGTTGAGACCTAGTGCTGCAGAGGCTGCTGCTACACTGGTCGTCTTCTCCTGCATTTGTTGTTGAGTGTGCGATAGAAGAGCCAGGTCATCTGCGAAGTCCAGATCGTCCAGCTGCGTCCTAACTGTCCAGTTGATACCGTGCTTCACTCCAGATGTTGACGTCTTCATAATCCAGTCGATGACCAGGAGAAAGAGAAAGGGTGAGAGTAATCAACCTTGCCTGACACCGGTCTTCACCTCAAAAGAGTCTGTCAGCTGACCTCCGTGCACGATTTTGCAGTTGAATCCATCATAAGAGTTCCGTATGATGTTGACTATTTTCTCAGGTACACCGTAGTGTCGAAGAAGCCTCCACAGTGTTTTCCTATCCACGCTATCGATGAAGTTGATGTAGAGTGGTGAGTTCCATTCAATTGATTGTTCCACAATGATCCGTAATGTAGCGATTTGGTCAGTACACGATCGATCCTTACGAAATTCGGCCTGTTGATCTCGAAGTTGGACGTCTACGAAGTCCTTCATTCTGTTTAACAATACCCTGTTGAAGACTTTGCCTGGTATTGAAAGAAGAGTGATGCCTCTGTAGTTCTCACACTTGCTCAGGTCGCCTTTCTTTGGTATTTTGATCAGGTATCCTTCTTTCCAATCTGATGGTACTTGTTCCTCATCCCAAATCTTCTTGAAGAGATGTGAAATATTTTCGCAGTTGCTTCTACATCTGCTTTGATTGCCTCTGCTGGAATGTTGTCTGGTCCTGCTGCTTTGCCGCTCTTGATTTGTCTGATGGCGATACTGATCTCCTCAATCGTAGGTGCGCCAATATTATTTGGGAGGTCCGTAGATGCTGCTTCGATGTTGGGTGTGTTCAGTGGAGCTGGTCGATTCAGGAGTTGCTTAAAGTGCTCCACCCACCTACTTCGCTGTTCTTCAGTGTTACTGATTACTTTGCCTTCCTTGCTTTTCACTGGTCGTTCTGGTTTACGATAGTTCCCGGCGAGCTTCTTTGTTGTTTCGTACAATTGTCTCAAGTTTCCTTCTCTTGCAGCCATTTCCGCCGTCATTGCTAGATCTTCCACATATTTTTGTTTGTCAGCTCTGATGCTCTTCTTCACTTCCCTGTTTGCTTCTGTATACTCGGCTTGCGCCTTAACTTTCTCTGCTCTTGTTCGGCTGACATTCACTGCTGCCTTCTTGTTCCTCCTTTCTTCAATTTTTGCAAGAGTACAAATAGAGATACATTCCTTGTGATAGTACTTCTTGCGACCAAGGACCTTCTGACATGTGGAAGTGATTGCCTCCTTAATCCCTTTCCAATTGTACTCCAATGTTGATTCCTCTCCATTGAGTAGATCCTGAAAGGCCTGAACTTATTGCTGAGGGCTATCTTAAATTCGTTGAGTTTTACGGTATCTCGAATAAAGGCTGTATTAAACTTGTGTGATGTTGTCTGTCCCGTTGTCCAATACTTCCTGAGTCTCAGTTTCATTTTAGCGACCGGCAGGTGGTGATCTGAGGTTATATCAGCTCCTCTCTTGGTTCTCACGTCGTCTATGGTCCTTCTGAACTTTTTGTTGATACAGATATGGTCAATTTGGTTTTGAGTAGTGTGGTCCGGTGAAATCCATGTGGTTTTGTGTATGCATTTGTGCGGGAATATTGTGCCACCGATGACCAGTTTGTTGAAGGCACATAGGTTTGCAAATCTCTCACCGTTTTCGTTCCTTTCTGCCAGTCCATGTCGTCCCATGATGTCTTCATATCCAGTGTTTTTGTCCATGCCAACCTTGGCATTCAGGTCTCCCATCAGAATCGTCAAATCCTTTGGTGAGCATCTATCGACGATTGACTGCAGCCTTTCGTAGAATTGATCTTTAACGTCGTCATTGTAGTCATTGGTAGGTGCATAACATTGGATGACGTTCATTGTAATGTCCTCTTTCTTTGTTTTGAAGGATGCTTTAATGATCCTCGGTACATGAGATTCCCATCCTATCAGTGCCTTTTGTGCATGTTTGGACAGCATCAGTGCAACTCCTTGTGTATGTGAAGCGTTTTCCTCTTCATGACCAGAGTATAACAGCAGTTCCCCTGAAGCAAGTCCCAGTTGTCCTACCTGTGTCCAATGCGTTTCACTGATGCCGAGCACCTCGAGGTTGTATCTTTTCATTTCTGCCGCAACTTGAAATAGTCTTCCAGTCTCCCACAATGTACGGACGTTCCATGTACCTAAAAAAAATGGTTGCTCTGGTTGTCAGAAGAGGCATCGGCCCCGTGACTTCCGAGGGAACTTGGCTTTCATCACGCGACGTCATAATTCTTCCTCCAACTCCCAGGGCAGAGTTAAAATGGTTTGAATTATTTTTTCTGGTTAGCGTTTTTTTTGGCAAGTTAGTTTTCAACGGAATGGGGTCGCCAACCCCATGTCCAACCCTCCTCCTTTATCCGGGCTTGGGACCGGCAGTAGCCCCTAAGGTTCTACTGGCGGAGTTTGCTA